CCGGCCCAAAGTGTGTGTGTGGTAGCGGGGGAGGCACAGATGTCTCAGCCAAATCCCTTGCGTAAACCTACCTTGGGCCCTACAGTGGAGACGGAGGAGGAAGGCTGAGGTGTCTGAGGATGTGGATTGGAAGAAGGGTATAAAAACCTAAGGAATGCAGTCTACTTAGGCTGGGAGACGAGAGGAAGGTGAGAGGGTGTTAGGAGAGAGTGCGTCTGTGCTGGGGGAGAGGATGCACACCTCCCTTGTCTGTGGAATACATAAGCTTCTGGGACTATCAGAGTGATAGGTGTGACTGGTGGGATGGGGTAGGGACCTTTGCTTGATGAGTGCAGCAGAGCGTGTGGCTCCACCCACCCACCCACCCTCCATCCACCCACCCACCCACCCTCCATCCATTCATCTTCTATTCATCCAGCCAGCCAGCCATCCACCCACCCACCTATCCTCATCATCTCTCCATCCATCCATCTCCTGTCCATCCATCCATCTACCCACCTATTTTCTATCCATCCACCTATCCTCTCTCCATCCATCTATCCCCCCACCTATCCTCTATCCATCACCCATCTATCCATCCACCTATCCACCCACCAATCCTTCACTAGCAGCACTTGTGGAGTGCTCACACTCAGTATAGGAGGAAGTGAAGTATAGGACCCCATCTCCCCCTCCAGGAGTTCACAGCCCAGTGGGAGAGACGGCTAAGCAGACCAGCAACGACAGGGCGAGGGGCTCGCTAAGAGAGGTCAGCCCAGGTGCCTGAAGGGAGGAAGAAGGCTCCCAGGGGGAGGCGCTATTTAAGCTGAGTCCTGGAGGATGAGCACATTATGGGGCACATGCTTCCCTCAGTGGAGGTTCTGGCATAACTCCCCTTCCTGCCTCAGTGGAGGGCAATCCCTCCTCCAGGGTTTGGGTCCCCTCCCTGCCCACATCCAGGTGCAGGGAACTTACCCCTCTTGCCTCCCCTTTGCTCCTCCTCATCTGCAATCTTTGTTTCTCCCTGCTGTGTAGAGACATTTTCAAATCTCCTTCATCTTATAATTTTATTACAACAATCAAACCCCTCCCTTGACCCTAATCCAGGGATAACTCCCAACCTGTGTTCTTTTGTTCCCACTAAGCATCTGGAAAGAGAAGCCCATGCTTACTCTCACTGCCCCCTGCTAAACGTCAGCAGGCAGGCATCCTCCCCCAGGGATAGTTCTTCCTTGTCCCTGAAGCTGCCTGGGCACTGGTCCCATTGCTCCCTGCCCTCAGCCAGTGCATGCTTCTCAGACTTTGCTTAGTGGATCTTAGCTGACACTGCTGCCCACTCCTTCCTTCCTGAAACCCTTTCCCTCGCTCCCATGACACAGTCAGGTCTCCCTTCTCCGTGGCCCTATGTTCCCAGTGTCCTTTGTGGGTGCCTCGGCTGTTTCTCCTCTCACGCTGTGCTCGTTCCCGGGACAGTGCACCCGCCCGTGCCCGCACCAGCCCGGGGCACCATGGAGCTTCAGACTCGGCCTCCAGCTCATCACCAGACATCTCTGCCTGGGTGTCCCCCCTCCACCAAGAACTCAAACTCCCCGGCCCCCCACCAGACATATCATTGCTGTCTTCACCTTGTCCTGTCAGTCTGAGTGCACGGCCCTGCTGTCTACGCCGTCGTCGACATCAGAACATGGGCGTTATCCTAGATGCCTCTCTTTTAATTCATTCCCCTAACCCCGTCCTCCGTCCAGTCGGTCACAGGTTTTGTGATTCTGTGTCCTTAGTGTCTCATGTGGCCCTATTTCTGTTCCATTGCGCCCACCTTGCTTCTGACTCCTCGTTTCCCACCCAGTTCTGGCACGAGCCCTGAGGTCCCACAGTTCTCAGATGCCGGTCCTCCCTTGGGCAGGTGCGGGACTAGCTGCCTAAGAGTCATTGAGAGAACTTTCTAAAACTCAGGACTTCTGGGTCCCAGCCCAGCCAGAGAGAGCCTGGATCCGTGAATGTCCTTTTACAAAGCTGCCCTGCTGCTCCTTCGGTGCAGCTGGTGGCCTGGAGGCACTTCCGATGAGCTTCCTGCCTCCTGCTTGGTCTAGACGAGTCAGTCCCCCTTGCGAGTACAGGAAAGATCATTCAACAAAACAAATCTGATCCCAGTCGTGTCTTTGTTCGAAGCTCTCAGTACATACCATGCCCCTACCCCTAACCTCCTCATTAAGTCCAGACCCTTAGCTAACACATTCAGCCTTCGGGATCTGCTGTCGCCGTCTCCTGCCCTCCCTTCACCACCCTCCACCCCAGGGCTCCACCTATGGTGGTCACCCTGCCCCCAGCCTGGCAGAACGACCTCTTCCCTGAAATGTGCTCAGCGGCTTCCCACCTCCATGCCTTGTGACCTGCACCCCCCCAGTGCCCTTCCTCCCTCTGGCTGGCGGGTGTCTGCCTAGCTGTGAGCAGTCAGCCCCAGACCTTCCAGAAGGCTGTCCCATCCTCTTACCCTCGGCTTGCCCTTCTGTGGCCGCCCAGTGACTGACACGGCCTCTGTTTGACTTACGGCGTGTGTGTCAGAGTGACTTTCACTCACAGACTGCCAGAAAGCGTCCAGACCATTCAGGTTTCTGTATGTTTATGCTTCTAGGCTTTCTGGGCTGGCATGGAGTCACGAATTCCATTGCTGCTAGTTGCCCCCTCAATACCATAATGGGTATACGTTTAAAGGACCCACCCTGAGATGGCCAGACTCAGAAGGAAATCATTGACCTTCATCACTTAGGAAGCACTTGACAATTTACAGTGCTTTCCTTTGAAACGAAAACATGAAGCCATCCTGCTAGTACTTTATTGCCCTCCCCCCAGATGGGTATTAATCACCCTCCAAGGGGCTGGAAAACAGCCTCCACTGTCAGGGTGCTCACAGCGGGGCAGAGCTGCGGCTGCGTGTCAGGGGGGTTGAGAGGCTAGATGGTGTCCTTTGTCAAAGCGTCTTCTGTTTCATAAAGTATCAGACCTGCTCCCACTTAAAGATGTAATAGAGTCAGATGTGGACGCTATCCACCTCCCTGCTTTCCTCCTTGACTTTTCGCTTGGTCCACAGCCACAGAGAGAGCACGTTGTGACTGCTGGACCCCGTGCTGCCGCGGTGCCTACTGTGCTGTGTCGTGTGGCTTTCAGCACAGCGGTGCTGGCACAATGTCCAGGGTCTTGAGGTCAGTTGGGGAGGACAGCAAGTGAGCCCTTCATGAGCCCATGAAAGTTGGGGTCAGGGAATCACCTACCAGCTGAGGACGTTTTGCAAGCCCAGTGTGTTACAGAGGATCAGATATCTCATGAGTCTGACATCTGGGCATCGCCTGGAAACCATGTAAGTCCTCCAAGAGCCCTGGTGATACTGCCTCTCGGTCTGGGCTGGGCTTTTCTAAGACGGCCCAGGCTATTCCTGTCCCTCTGCCACGTCTTGACCTGGCACCAGCAGCTGCGCTGGGGGCGGGGGTGGATGGGCACACCAACCCCCATCTGGAAGAAATCATGCATAGTTATTCTGGGTACCTTTTCAGGAAGGATTTGTTGGTTGATTTTGTAAGAAAATGGAGTAGAAGGCCTTCGTAGTGCACAGAAGTTTGGGGCTCTCTCTGTCGCCTACATTGCTTTCCTTGGAGGGTACGTTGGAGCATTGTGCACATAGACGACCCCTTCCTTATCCTTGGGGTCCCCCAACGAGCTCGTGACATCCATGAGCTCCATGTGGCTACACAAAAGATCGTTCAGAAATGCAAATCTGGTCCCAGTCATGTCTTTGTCCGAAGCTCTCAGTGCGGGCCATGACCCCAACCCTCTCCTCCCCATTGAGGCCAGAGTCGGGCCTTCGTCCCAGCCGTCTGGCTGTCTCCCCCACCCCGACATCCAGTCAGTTGACAAGGGGCCCCTGGAACTGGGATGTCTCACACTCTGGTGCCCTCCCTGCTGCTTCCAGCACTTTCCTGTGCCCTCAGGCCCACCACGTCTGACTGCACCATTACCTGGGTCTCCTAGCCACGCCCTGGGCCCTTTCTCCTCCGCTTAGTCCCTCAGGCTGTTGTCCTGTCGGCCTCCTGGTCCCCACTGCCCAGCTCCATGGCCCCACACTGGCCTCCCCACTCAGCCTGGCTTTCTAGGGTCACCCCGGTATGTCTCCCTCTCCCTTTTCCAACTCTGTTTATTCACTCATCAAACATTTATGGAGCACGTTCTAGGCGGAGCTGTGATAGGTTTCACAAGAGTGAAAAAGTCTCAAAACCTGTCCTCGATGGGGCTCATAACCCAGAATGAGAGGCGATCATTCTCCAAATGATTCAGTACAGGGCTGTGTTCATGTTACAGTGGTGGAACAAATTGGGGCGGGGCGGGGGGGGGACAGGGAGAGTGGGGTTAAGGAAGGCCTCCCGGAGGAGGAGAAATGTCGACCAGGCCTGGCTGATGGGGGCGAGGGCAGGGGGCAGGGGAGGGTGGGCATCGCCAGCCTGCCTCTTCTGCAAACCCTATATCGCTCTCAGCCACCTGCTGCTCTGCAGACACGCCCGCGGTCTCCCGGCCCGGCCATTGCACAAGCCATTCCCCTGTGTCCCCCTTCACGAAGTTGGTTCTGTCCTTGAAGTCTTACCCGTCCTTCAAAGCCAGGCTCAGATTCCATCTCCCCCTTTCCCGACTACCTCTCCCTCCTCCGCTCCCTTCTGCATTTTGTACTTCAGTCTCGACATTTACCATTTTGTATTCCTTTCGTTGTTTACTTTTCCTCGTCTGCTACTCCTAGAAACTCCTTGAAGGGCTAACTTGACCGTGGAACTGAAATCACTAATGAGCGCTTTTCTAAGCAAAGAGCAAAAAGCAGTGTGAAATGTGCACTAGAGTGTTTATTTTCTTGGCTTTTTTATTGGTGGAGTTGGGTGGCCCATAGCATCGGAAAGAATACAGTGTCTGCCATTTATCATGGGAAACCTTCAGCATCCGAAGAATATATTCAGAGGCACCTTTTCTTCTCTCTGTCCATGTAGGGTTCGATGACCTTCAGGTGTGTGCTGACCCAGGCGTCCCTGAGAATGGCTTCAGGACGCCCAGCGGAGGGGTTTTCTTTGAAAGCTCCGTCACCCGATTTCACTGCCAAGACGGATTCAAGCTGAAGGGCTCTACAAAGAGACTGTGTATGAAACATCTGAACGGAACCCTAGGCTGGATCCCAAGTGATAAACCCGTCTGTGTGCAGGAAGGTAAAGTGCTCTCCTCCACCCCCTACCCCCATCCCATGGAAGCCACTCACGTAGTCAAGCTCGTGGCTGCAGGGGTATGAGCCTGTGTGCCAGACGGGGCGGTACCCTGGGCTGCTTTCTGTTTCAGGGCTGATCTTGCAGACTGATGGAGGAGCACGCGTGTTCAGTAAGGGCTGGGGCAGGGGATAAATGCATCTCAGCATCAGGAGTAATCGTCTTCCTTTTCTTTCTCAATTACAACCCAATTTATCACCATTTCTGTCAATGCAAGAGAGCAACTCAGATAACATGAGGGCCATTCATTATTGGGCTGCCAACTCAGCACTCGTTTCCATGTTACTCAATAAAAAGTGCAGTAAATATATTGGGCCAAAACTGTATATAATGATACAGAAGATGCGTGTTACTCAGAGAATTAAATCAATTACTACTTATCAGTTCTGCGTTAGACATGATTCATTTAAGGAGAGAAAGAACTGTGGCAAACAGTGGTAGATTGACAAGGTAGACATTTATTTCTAGCAGGTATCCCTAAATTTACTGGTTGTGACAAGATATTCATTTACTCCTAGCAATTGTCCCTAAGTCTATTGGTTGCAACAACTTTATGTATGTATATATATATATTTTTTGCTTGTTTGTTTTCACCCTATAGAGATACTTTTAGAGTTTAAAAGAATGCATTGAGTTTAACTAATTGGAATGCCAGTTGTTGATTATATATCTCTGATGATCAGCAAGGTTGAAGTAGGAATAGGCAGGAATTAAGAATTAATTCTAGCCCCAAATTTCCGTGAGGCACAGAACTAATATCTCATCAAGTTCATTACAAGAGAGTTTCACTTTCTCTTAACACCATTATTGATTTTATTTGGGGATAGAGCTTTTATAATAATGCTATGTAAACTCTTATTCTGATTTAGTGTATATCTTCTTTATGAAACTTTTAAAGTAATTTAATTTGGCAAGCATTGATCAAACATCTATTATGCTCCTCCTTTTGGAAATTATCAAGGATGGGTAAGGTGGTGTCTTACCCTTAAAGTACTTGCTACCTTTGCTTTTATTTTCAAGGTATTTTTTAAAAAGCCAAAATTATATAAAGAATTAAGGTTTTTAAAAGTAAATTTATTTTTCCTCTTACATGCAGTCCATGCAAGCTATGATTTCTGTAAGATTCTATTAATTAAAAGTTTATTTACTATATAAGATAGATAGACAACAAGGACGTACTGTAGAGCACAGGGAACTATATTCAACATCTTGTAATAACCTATAAGGGAAAAGAATCTGAAAAAGAATAGATATAACACTCACTTTGCTGTACACTGGAAACTAACACAACACTGTAAATCAACTCTACTTCAATTAAAAAAAAAAAAAAGGTTATTTAATTTGTATGTAAAGACTTTCCTGCTAAAACCCATGGCCTAGGATACCCAGTGCTTAAAACCCAGACAAGCTCAAAAACATCAGAGAACAAAGAAAACAACAGGCTTCCTGAATATTGCCCAGAGATGAAGGCCCTCTGTTACTTGGTCATCCTGGGAAAAAAAAAAAGTTTATCCCTTTTTAGATGAGCTTCTTTCCAACCTTGTACATAACAACGTAATACATAGTAATTCCAAGAAAGGGAGTGAAAAATCACCTTGGAGTAGAGGCTTCTATTATATAGGTCTGCGTGCATAATTCTGAACACTTAGCCCCAAATGTGGTGGGAGGGGCTGTGTACCTGGGGATGGCAGTGGAGTGTCAGTTCTTTTATTAGGCAACTTATAATAAGACCAGGTGCTTCCAAAGAACGTACCGGGATTCCTCATTTCCGGTCACGATGTTGTGCTGTCACCATCATTTTACAAAGTTTGGAAGAACAGGTATTGCCTTTCTAAGTACGACGGTATAATTGATTATTTTTAATATAAATGGTGGTCTTTGAGAGATCTGTATAAGGAGATTACTTTCGTTGCCCTCACGGTGGAGAAAATCATCATTGTTAGCAGCCTAAGCCTGCTGTATGTGGCTTACAGGGGCGACGGGCACACAGAAGTCTACTCCATGGATGTTGTAAAGCAGGGAAGAAGCTAAACTAATTTTCCCTGGAGTTGTAAATGGCCTTTACTCCCTGATTAGGACTTACGCTGGGCGAATAGTAAGGGCTGCTCAATTCATTTGTTTCTGTTGTTAGGTAATTTTTAAAAATTAATTAATTTATTCATTTATTTAATTTTTGGCTGCATTGGGTCTTCGCTGCTCCACACGGGCTTTCTCTAGCTGCTGAGAGCAGGGGCTACTCTTTGTTGCGGTGCGCGGGCTTCTCATTGTGGTGGCTTCTCTTGTTGCAGAGCACGGGCTCTAGGCTCACAGGCTTCAGCAGTTGTGGCACGCAGGCTCAGTAGTTGTGGCACGCGGGCTCTAGAACGCAGGCCCAGTAGTTGTGGCACACGGGCTTAGTTGCTCCGTGACATGTGGGATATTCCCGGACCAGGGCTCGAACCCGTGTCCCCTGCATTAGCAGGCGGATTCCTAACCACTGCGCCACCAGGGAAGCCCTGTTAGGTTATTCCTAGAGGGCTAATGGATTTTTCTGCATGCTGGTGATCGTGATAACAATAAATTATCACATTTTTTAGGTCATTAGAGTTTAAAAGTACATTGAGATTCACTATCTCATTTAACAAGTACAACTGCCCTACAAGACAAGTCTTATTGTCCTCATTTCCTGATTAGGAAACTGAGGCTCAGAGAAGTTACTCGCTTTGTCAGAGTCGCACAACGGATGGGTAAGCAGCAGATCTGTAACTCATTCTAAGCCAGCATTTTTCCTCTACAAGATTAAGTCTGACTTTCCTCTTGGTGTCACAAAAGCCCTGCTGTAGTCAGTTATGCAACAGCACGTTGTTACAACAAAAGGCATCACCAACGTTCAGAGTCGAAGGCATTCTAGAAGTTAGATAATCCAAGCCCTCGTTCCAATTTAGTTTTTGTTTGATCAATAGGGAAACTGAGTCTCAGAGAAGTTAAGAGTCTTCCCAGACTTAAATGGTGATTTAGGGACACATCTGTTCTAGCCCAGGTCTTGTCACTGTTGCCTGAACTTCTTCCAGTCTTCCCTTGTCAGCCAGTTCTGCCTGAGATACAGATTTTTAAAAATAAGTTCATATGCATTAAAATGCTTCATAACAGTAAAGTGCTCTACAGAAGCAAGGTGGTATTAAAGCAAATATTTTCTTGTGCATTCACACAGATTCCCTCTCTTTTATTCTCCACTTCACCCTGCCACACATACCAGCCATCTCCCTTCTCTCCTTTTACTTCAACCTAAATGGTTTATTCCAAGCAAACTCACTTACAGAAGTTTGGACTTACAGAACTGATAATATAGGCAATGAATTATTTTCCTGGCACCCAAAGCCTCCAGCCTAAGAAACATCTGTGCTTGTCAAAGCTGCTTCTGTAAGACTAGAGCCTGCACATCCCTGAGCAGGGGTGAGGATACTTTATGGTCCAGGGAGCAGGGGAGGTGACCAGTATGCTGGAGAGGGTACCATGGAGTTGGCAAAGGACTGAAAATACTGCCTGGGGGCACAGGGCTGCTGACATACTAAGTACAGTGACTAAAGGCCAGGGGGACGGCCACCATCGGGGCCTCTTCCTTTCCAAAATCACTCAACTAGTCTACTGGGGGACACTTTCCCTGCTAATACATCCCTTTCCCACATTTCATAAGAAAAAGTATAGGTAAAGTCAGATTGACTTTGCATAAATTCATTTGAGGGGAGACCTTCAAGATGGCGGAAGAGTAAGACGTGGAGATCACCTTCCTCCCCCCAAATACATCAGAAATACATCTACATGTGGAACAACTCCTACAGAACACCTACTGAACACTGGCAGAAGACCACAGACTTCCCAAAAGGCAAGAAACTCCCCTCGTCACGTACCTGGGTAGGGCAAAAGAGAAAAGAATAAACAGAGACAAAAGAATAGTGACAGGACCTGACCCTCTGGGAGGGAGCTGTGACGGAGGGAAAGTTTCCACACACTGGAAGCCCCTTCGCGGAAAGAGACTGCGGGTAGCAGAGGGGGGGAGCTTCGGAGCCACGGAGGAGAGCACAGCCACAGGGGTGTGGAGGGCAAAGTGGAGAGATTCCCGCACAGAGGATCGGTGCCGACCAGCACTCACCAGCCCAAGAGGCTTGTCTGCTCACCCGCCGGGGCGGGCGGGGCTGGGAGCTGAGGCTCCGGCTACTTCAGAGGTCAGATCCCAGGGGGAGGACTGGGGTTGGCTGCGTGAACACAGCCTGAAGGGGGCTAGTGCGCCACGGCTAGCCGGGAGGGAGTCCGGGAAAAAGTCTGGACCTGCCTAAGAGGCAAGAGACCATTGTTCCGGGGGGCGCGAGGAGAGGGGATTCAGAGCACCACCAAAATGAACTCCAGAGATGGGCACGAACTGCGGCTATCAGTGTGGACCCCAGAGACGGGCATGAGACGCTAAGGCTGCTGCTGCCGCCACCAAGAAGCATGTGTGCGAGCACAGGTCACTAGCCACACCTCCCCTCCCGGACGCCTGTGCAGCCCGCCACTGCCACGGGCCCGTGATCCAGGGACAACTTCCCCGGGAGAACACATGGCGCGCCTCTGCCGCGGCAGACTCGCCCCGCATCTGTACCCCTCCCTCCCCCCCCCCGCCCCCGGCCTGAGTGAGCCAGAGCCCCCGAAGCAGCTGCTTCTTTAACCCCGTCCTGTCTGAGCAAAGAACAGACGCCCTCAGGCAACCTACATGCAGAGGCGGGGCCAAATCCAAAGCTGAGCCCCGGGAGCTGTGTGAACAAAGAAGAGAAAGGGAAATCTCTCCCAGCAGCCTCAGGAGCAGCAGATTAAATCTCCACAATCAACTTGATGTACCCTGCATCTGTGGAATACACAGATTCCACAATAGAATCTGTGACAATAGAATCTGTGATAATAGAATATGTCTATTCATTGAATAGACAACGAAT